ACGGACCCCCGGCCGCCCGCTCTCCGGGGCGCCGGGCAGCACCCCGTCATCACGGATCCCCGGCCGCCCGCTCTCCCGGGCTCTGCGCAGCACCCCCTCAGCACGGCTTCGCAGCATGACCTTGTCATTCCCGGGTCTCGAGTGGTGCTCCGAAGGAAAGCCCGGAGTCCGGGAAGTGCAATTGTTTGAAGAAACAATTTGCTCGAAGAAAGACGCTTTCCTTCACTAAGCGGCAGCCCCAGGGGCAGAGGGGAGCTGGCACGGGTGCTAGGAGCCCCAGGTGACGACGGGGCACAGAGCCGCCTTCCCCGTCCGACACGCCCTCCTGCCGGCTGGAGGGCCCTCACGCTGCCGACAGGCCTCTACGTGGTGCTCGCCGGCTTGTGCGCCCACGCGGAGCTCTGCGGTGGCTGGTCCCTGGTACGTTTCTCTCTCAGGGACCTGCAGCAGAGTGACCCAGCGAGGGGCCACCAGCCTGTTAGCATCACCCCGGCCCCCCGCCAGGAGAGAGGCCTGATCAGCCAACACGGGTCTCCCATCTGAGCCCAAACTTCAGAAACCCCGAACCTGGGAGTTGCCGAGGTGGGAGCCAAGATCCGAGGCATGACTGAGGGACTGTGTGTGGACCTTTGTGTATGTGTGTGTGTGTGTGTGTGTGTGTGCACGCACATGTGCATGTGTGCATGTATGCGCGCACATGTGTGTGTGAGAGAGAGAGAGAAACTTTCCATCAGACAGACCTGGGGCTTCTACTGGAGGGCATACCACCCATGAGCCGTGTGATCCCAGGGAAAAGACTGCACCCCTGGTCTGAGCTGGGGATGTCCTCACCTGAGGGGCACCCTGAGTCTGAGTGGGGGACCATGGTGCCATGTGGGTTCAGTGAGCTGATGTGGATGGAGCTCCTGGCACATGAACTGGGCGAAGGCTGCCCTGACTCTCAGTGGCCCGAGACCCGAGCGGACCAGAGTCTAGGTGTGCAGAACAACAGCTCCTGGCGCTGTCTGGACCTCTGCGTGTCCTTGGGAACCCACAGAGCGCTCCCAGAGCGTAAATGAGTTCTCCAACAAGACATTAAGGGTAGCTCTCTCAAAGCATTCCCGTCCTGGAAACGGGGCTGTGTCTGACCCCGGGTGGGGTTCCCAGCGGCGAGCTGGCAGGAAGACTCCGGGGGCAGGGGCCGGGGGAGTCCCAGAGGGGCCTGGGGTCGACCCTTGGCGTTGTCTCACATCAGGGCAGTCACTCGGCCCCCGTACTTCGGGTCTGCCCCCAGAACGTCAGTGCACAGGCCCCGGTGACCTCAGCCCCGGGTCCCGCCCTCCCCCGGAGCCGCCGCTCCTAGCCCCAGCGCGTGAAGCACCGTCCGACCCTCGTTCCAGCCCACGGCTGTGCTGGCATTTTCCCTCACGCCATCGCACGTGTCCTGACGTGGACCCTGACGAGGAGCTGCAGCTGAGTGATGGGGCCACTTCTCCCTCCAGGCCTGTGTGGGCCCACGCTGCCCGAGCTGGCCACGCCAGGGCCGCCGCTAGGACTGCCAGGCCGTGGCGAGCGGAGAGAGGGCTCAGGCTGTTCAAAGCGCGGGCGGTGCCGTCCACACTAAGTCAGGGATCCTGCAAGACACCGAGTCACGGCCTCTGGCTGTCGGCGAGGGAACACAGACGCCCACAGCCGCAGAAAGCCGTTCTCGCGTGGCCCTGCCGCGCTCGCGGCCGCCGCTGGGATTGCTTCCTTGGTGGATTACTTACGGTTTTTCCGACGGTAATGTCTAGTGTCTGAGAGAAAAATGGCCTTTGTGATGCACTTTCTGGGGGCTGTCTGGAGAGCACATTTTTAAAAAGGGAGAAACCGGTTATCGTAGAGCATGTGTGTACCTGAGAGACAACCCTCCCCGGGGCGTGGGCATGCGTGCCCCCATTCCTCCAGCCCGCCTGGGCCGAGCACACGCGCCTGCTGTGACGCCGGCCGACCGTGGTCACCACGTGGGATTGGGCTTCTCGCGAGCACTGCTCTGCTGCCGTACGTACAGCCGAGATTCAGTATTTTCTCAGAATTGAAGCACATGGGAGACTTCGACCCACAGGTTTTATCTAGGAGTGCTAAGGGGAGGATCGGAAAGGGCGCAGTGAAGGGAAGATACCACACATGCACGCAGTGACGCACATGTGGATGCTCGGCTGCGCTGTCCGTGAAGACGAAAACCACTGCAAGACCCCCCAGTGCTGCAGAGACGGCCCCCTCTCGGCAAGGGCCTTGGCTACCTTCCGAGTTCCCTGTCACCCACATGCTTGGCTTCCAGCGGCCACCTCTGCCACCCTCCCGAAGGGTGGGTGTAATCCACAGCCGGTGTGATTGACGGCCCTCCTGAGGACTGGCAGCGCAGGGGTGAAGCCCCAGCCTCCTGCCCTGGAGACACCTGGAAGCCCCGCAGAGTCAGGCTGGGGCTGGGCCGGTCCTGAAATCGACAGGGTCCTTCATTCCCCCCCTCCTGCCTGCCCGGCCCGCCTCTGCCCGGCGCCTGGGAAGGTGTCCTCATGAATGACTTGCCCCCTCGTGCATCCTAGCCTCACCCTGCTTCTGGGGAGCCTGACCTCGGACTCCCCTGACCAAGGACACTTGTAATAAAATGGCCCTCCTTGGCCACTGGACTGTGCCCGATGTGGCTGGGGTCTGCAGGAAGCCATCCGAAATTCCTCTGCCAGGATGGCGTGCTTTGGATTTAGGGACGATGCTGTGAGTGAATTATGTTTATTTTCAGATGAATGAATTACTTTCGCCTCCGTAGTCTGCTCCTTAAATGTCTTTAAGTTTATTTCTTTCTTCTGAGCGAGACAGACAGAGAGACAGCACCCCGACAGGGCCTTGGTGCCATGAACCAGCTGCAGCTCCAGCCAGCCCCAGACCATGGGCACGCATGTGCCCACGTGTTCAGAGAGCTCTCCAGACATGACCTCAGACCTTCCTGCGCAGCCGGCCTCGCGGAGCATCATACCCACCCTTGAGATGCCAGACTGCATCCAACACGTGTCCAGACCCCTCTCCGCTGGTCTCCTGGAGATGGGCTACTAGGCCCCTGGCACGTGTCCTTCCTCACTTCTCATGAAGGGCCAGCATTCTCATGGACACCCGAAAGGGATGTACATTCGCATGGTCTCTCAGACGCGTGTGAGCACGTGACATGGTCTTAGCCAAGCCAGGTGTAAGTGGATTCAGACATAACCTGCCTGGCGCACAGGTGCAATGGTGGGGCAGAGTCAGCCATCCTAACATCATGAGGTAACGACAAAGCCCGAGAAAATCGGCAAGAGCTCAACTCTAACCACCTGGTATTGAACCAGTGTCATCTGCTGCTACCTGGGACTTCCCAACGCTACAAAGAAGTACTGTACGAGTGCTTTGAAGTCATATCGCAGTGGCTGATGCAATGCTCGAGTGTCCGCTGCACCAGGGTGCTCCTGACGGCCACTCTTCAGGACAGACCCTACACTCAGGGCGTTTGCTGCACCACAGATCCCCCTGCAGGATGCTGCCATGCACCAGCTCCCCGGGCCCAGGGCTGTGGGACTGAGTCCGCATGCCTCTCTGCCATCTCCACACCCTGGACCCTGCCTGGAGAGGTCGGAAGTGACAGCCTGTGCCTCACCACTTTGGAGGGGGACATTCCCTGTCTACCACATCTGGTCTTAGCAAGGCAGAAACTGGCACCAAACGTGGCATGCATGCTCATGTGTGCTCACGTGTGCTCATGTGGGGGCCGGCCGGATGAAGTGCGGTGTGTCAACATAGCGGAACGTACTCATTTTTTAAAGGATTTTGCCAGCGGGTGTGTGCACTTGCCCCAGAGAGACGAGGCAAAGCGCGCGAAAGCACCTGCCTGGGGCATGGTCATGCCGCAGTCCCTTCTCCTCCACCCTCCCTTCTGGGATTTTGGGCACATATGTACACCCCACCAGCATGTTTCTGGAGCTGCAGGGTCCAGGACTTGAACTGTGCAGTAAGCCGTATGGCACGAAGCTCCTCTAACCACCAGGCCACAGGGCTGCCCCAGAACCCCATGCATTCGAGTGACATCATAAAAGAGCTAGCATGTGGTAGGATCGGTCTTTCGGGTGGGGGAGGGCTCAGCAATCACAGGGAACAAAGAAGTCACACGCGGCCACAGCGAGCGCACGGAGGCTTCCCCGACATTCAGCAGGGACATGCCTTCAGTCGTGGGTGACAAGTGGAACTTTCTTTTTGGATGTCTGCCTCAGTAGAAGAGATCGTGGTTCAGTAAGGAAGCCCCTGTGCGCCTGCTCAGCTCGGCCCTGACTGCCCTTGTCAGGGCGGCTGGGGCTCAGCCGTGCCGTGTTCCCTGCCCCTCCTCCGGACAGAACTGCCGCAGACACTTCTAACAGCAGCATTCTGTTCTGGGGGCCCAGGTTCGACCCCGCCCGCCTCTTCTGGGGGTGGAATCCCCCTTTCTGGAGCTTTCTCTCCGGGCGACGGGCATAGTGGGAGCTTGGATCTCGGCACTCTCCTCGCCCTTCCTCTTCGCCGCCCCAGAGGAGTGTTACTGCCCCCTCGGCTCAGGCCAGCAGAAGCTTTTACGGAGCTCCAGATGTTCGCTTCCAGGGGCGGCCTTGGCCCTCGGCCCTCGAGGAAACCTCCACTTCTGCTCCTGCGGGGAAGAAACCGCGGACCAGAAAGGAATGGAAGGAAGACCGAGAGCCAGCCCGGCTGTCAGAGGGCTCTTCCCGGGGGACGCCAGAGCCCTCCACAGATGTGCTGCTGCCATGGAGGAAGCCGCAGGTCCCCTTTAAGGAGACTGGCAGCCTCTGCCTATTTTTACACGTTTACGATCTGCAAGGAGAGGCGGCCAGGCATCGCCCAGAGCTGGGCAGTGCAAGCATCTGTTAGTTTCCACCCCTCCCGCGTGGCAATCCATTATGATAAGGCCCAGAGGGAGGGAAGGAGCCAGGCTCCCGCAGCCTCCTGCCTGGCGGAGCTGTTTAAGCAGCAGGCACCTCCAGCCCAATCCATTAACCAAAAAAGGGCGCCCAGGCCTGAGCGATTTCTAGGTCCCTGCCAGGGCTCAGACGGCACAGCCCTGATTCCTGTACAGTGAGTCTTCATCCGGCAGGCGCCGGCACACGGCTTTCTTCTCAGACACCAAGAGCCGGGACAGGCTGGCCCAGAGAAGCCCTCTGACACCGGCATGGCCTCGCGGCCTCCTCCCGGGCGGTTTCCCACGGCTGATCTAATAACTGCCACAGAGGAGGCCCGGGAGAACCAGCCTCCCAACGGAGTGTGCTCTCTCACGTCCTGGAGGACAGAGGTCTGAGATCCAGGTGGGATTCGAGAGGACCCCTGTCTGCCACCAGCAGCCCCTGCAGGCCCCTGGAGCTCCCGACACAGCCGCGTTGCTCCAGCCTCCGCTTGGTCTTCGCGTGGTTGTCTCCTCTCTTCCTTCTTCACGTCTCTGCTGGAGGGAGGGGCCACCCACACAGTCCAGGACGGCTCATCGAGGTTCTTCATGACATCTGCAAAGACTCTGTCTCAAGTCAGATCACTTGCAGATTCTGGGGGTGAGGGCTGCCATTCCACCACACACCTTCCCAGGAATTCCAGGGAAGGCCCAGTGCGCCCACGCTCAGCCGCCAATCCACACAGCAGGTGACATCGTCCATGCCGGGTCCCCTAGGGACCAGGGGCTCCCACCCCACAGTCTCACCAGAGCCCCCGGTGCCCACGGCCCACAGGTGTGCACAGAACTGTTAAGAGTAGGGACTCTGTGACCGCAGTTCAAGTCCCGGACCCAGTGGCTTAAACTCACGCCGGGCACGGGTGCGTGCGTGCCCAAGATCCTGCTAGAGGAGAATGGAGGAGAAGGGATTGCGGCGTGGCCATCCCCCCTGGGGGGTGATTTCTCACTTTCTGTCTCTCTGTCTCTCTCTGTCTGTCTGGCGAGCACATGCGCCCTATAGCAAAAACCTCTCTAAAAAAAAAGAAAAAAAAACACGTAGGGACTCTGAAGTCAGCCTCTGGCTCCACCAAAAACGCTGGCCAGGCCTCAGTTTCCTTACCTGTCAGGTAGGAGTAACAGGAGCACCTCTCCCAAGGCCTGCTGGGAAAACCCAGAGCGTGCCCACACAGGCCAGAGCGGGCCACCCCACTACCACACGGCCTGCGCTTGCACTCTCCGTGTCCTGGTTGGGGATTCTGGAGTCAGAGCTCACTGGCCCACGCCCCTCGGTGGGTCATAGATGGATCCGCGTCCCACAGCCACACTCCTCGTGTGATTTAAGTCCACAGAGCCCTTTACGCAAATGTCGCATGGACAGGGATGTAGCTGTGGCTTGAGCCCCAGTGGGACAGGCTGGAGGAAGGACAGCCCGGACGCTCCCAGGAGGCTTTCCACGTGTATGTGGCTTTGGCTAGTGGCCGGGGGAGGTGCAGGCTAGGAGGGGACCTCCACAGGGTTCTGCCCCGTCCCCAAACTGCTGTCACACCTTAACTCCCTGCACAGTCTCACTCCAGACACTCCAAGTCCGCAGGGCAGTCCACCTGAGCCCCAAAACCAGAAGGCAGAGCAGAACAGGAGGAGGAACCAGGACCAGGCGGGTTTCGCATCTTTTTCAAAAACAAATACGATACACCTTCTCTGCAGAGAACCTGGGCCCACAGACGAGTACCGCCAGGGCGTCACGAATGAGCCTGGTCGCCCGCTCCCGTCTGTCCGCTGTGAGTACCCGAGCCCCGAGAGGACACTCGAGGTGGCCAGGACCAGCCTGTGGCTTTATTCCAAGCGCTCTCTGCAGGCCAATAAAGAGGGTGGTTTCTCGGTCATTACACAGCGCTGCTGCGCCTCCCTGCACTGTGTTCTGCAGCCGTTTCTTGCACCCTTACGCATTTTCTCAGAGCAGGACTGCTCAGGGTGCGGAGCGTTTCTGTGCGGGCATGACCCGCCCTCCATTTGCCCAGTCTGGTCACTGTTTACTGCATGACTGCCTCTTCCCCTTAGAGGACGTGGATAATGCTCTGACGAACACCTGTATCCGTCTTTCTCTCCCGCTGCCTATCTGTAAATATCTGTAGAATCTCAGTATTTCGTGGAGCCAGGTCCTACAATACGAAGACTGTGTTAGAAGATAAGTGCTTTTTGTTTTGGGTTTTAGCCATGGGCTATATGCACACTTGCTTCAGAGACACAGAGCAAGACCGAGAAAGAGAGAGTGAGAGATCACACACACACACGCACCCTGGGACGGCCACGCCACAATCCCTTCTCCTCCTAGGATTTTGGGCATGATGTATACATACCCAGCATGATTTTCAAGCTGCTGGGTCCAGGGCTCGAACTATACTCCTCCATGTAGGAGTCCAGCTGCCTTAACCACCACATCACCCGCTGGTCCAAAGGTAAAGACTTTGGAGGTATTCGGTACCCTTCGTCAAGTTGCTCTCTGGAGAGGTCACATCAGTTTATAATCCCACCAGCAATATATGCTAAAAGTACTTTTCTCAAACATCTCATATCGAAAGTGATTTTTAAAACCTTTTAGCCAAGGACCAGCAGATGGTGTCATGGTTATGTCACTGGACTCCCACGTAGTCAACATGGTTCGAGTCCCAGACCCGGCGGCTTAAAACTCAGGCCAGGCTGGGGCCAGCAGGTGGCAAGGTGGTTAGGGGCGCTGGACTCCCATATGGCCGACTACGGTCTGAGTCCTGGACCTGGCAGCTTGCTTTCCCACTTTCCATCTCTCCCTCTCACTCACTGTCTCTAGTCAAATATAAATACATAAATAAAGTTAAATAAAATAATTTTAAAAAAATAAACTCATGCCAGGCAAAATGTGCGTGCATGCACAGAATCCTGTGGGGAGGGTGGAGGGGGAGACACTGCACGGCCATGCCCGGGGCTGATTCTCACTGTCTATCTCTCTGTCTCTCTGGCAAGCGCATGTGCCCTAAAGCAGAGATCTCTCTTTACAAAAAACCTTTCAGCCAATTTGGTGTGCAAAAAGGACTGCTTCAGCATGTTCTCTTTGACTGTCTTTGACTGTTATGCGGGTCGGCATTTTCCCCGCGCAGTTGACCGTCTGAATTTCTCCTCTTCTGAATCGCTCGATTCTACTCTCCCCGTTTGCCTCCCGGCCGCTCCCTTTCCTGCAGGGATGTGGGCTGGTGGCACCCCTCACTCGATGTGCCCCCCCAGTGTGCCGGGGCCCCGGGAAGCCGGCCACCTTCCATGGACGCTGCAGGCTTCCCATCAACGTGTCGTGCCTTTAGAGTTTGGTAAAGGGTTCGTTGAGAGCACCACGGAAATGAGCACACTGGTTACCTCCTTCTCATCTGTCTCTACCTAGACACCTGGAGAAGGCAGGAAATGCAGTGTTTCCCTAACTGCTGTGGACAGGTCTAGTACATCCGAAGACCGTGAATCCGCCTTACTCCGCGAGTGATTACGATGAACAAGGTAGCGTCAGGACCTTTTGTCCCAGAAAAAGAAAGTCTGAGCCGGCTTTTGGGTCCCCACTGTGCTGAGCTTCAGTGCGCTTTGTTTACCACCTCTTGCTTCCTGGAGACGGTTTTAAAAATGCCTCTGATTTGCTGAACACAGCAGCCGAAACTGTTACTCTGACAGAGTAAGAGGCTTCGTCCTCTGGGCCCTCCTGCCACGTCCGCATAATCAGCACATCTTTTTAGGCGTATGCACCTGGGGGTCTTCACGGCTCCTCACAGAGGCAGAGAGCCCGCCAGCTCCAGAACACTCCCTCTGCTTCCGGAACTGCAGACCAAAGGTCAGGGCACCCGCACCCTGGAACAGCTGGACGGCACCTCCGGCTCTGTGGGTTACACTGGCGGCCTAGGACAGCCCGACTCCCTGACCCCATGGACTCAGTGTGAAGGGTAAGCTGCGGCGTGCAAAGCTGCTCCCCTTCTGGCTCCAGAGACCGAGTTCACATCTGCAGAAACTCGCTCGTCGTTAGAAGCAAAGACTTCCCTAGGTCGGGGGACAATACACGCCGTGCCCAGAAGTCGCCTGGGACTTGGTTCAAACACACCTTTCTGGGCCGCACCTGATGCCTCGGATTCAAAGGCCCGGGCGGCTCCCAGGAAGCCGCGATTTCGACAGCACCCCCAGGCAGCCCTGTCCCCTGCTGCTTCGTGGCCTATCTTTGAGAACCCCCTTTAGGCCAACCCTCACCCCTTTATTTCACAGGTGAGGAACCTCGAGCCGGACGTGGGCAAGTCCTGCCCTGCACGGCTCCCGCTTCCCCGGGCCTCGCCCTCCGGCCCGTCAGAGCGTAGCAGCAGGTGGCGTCTCTGCCTCTCGCGGTGTGCCAGCTCTCTGCTCTGAAGTACTACCACAGGCCGGGAGGCTGAAGTTGGAAGTCGAGGCCTCAGCAGGGCCGCACCCCCTCCGGGGCTCCAGGAGGGCCCTCCCGTGCCCACGGATCCGGCTCCATGGCTGTCCTGGTGCCTGGCCGCGGGCCCTCGTGGTGCTCTGCGTGGGCGTCTGTCCCTGCACTCCCAGTCACTGAACGAGGGTGACCCGCCCTGACTACAGCGTCGTAAGGCTGTCTCCTAAGAGGTCATTTCCTAAAGGCCTACTCCCTTTGGAGGTTCTGGGGATATTCGTACATTACAGGGTACACGGGCAACCTGAAAGGGTAAACAGGCCGGTTTATGAAACAAGCTTCTCGCTGGATAGACACAAGGACTGCAGTGGCACACGGCCCCGGTGCACGTGTCAGGGACCCCCAGAGGCTCCCCGAGGCCCTCGCCATCCTGACAGGCTACAGGCACAGGTCGCGAGGGGACGGGAGGACAGAGACGGAGACAGGGCTAGGCCAGTGCCTGTCTACCAGGTCAGCCCACGGCTGGATAGGCAGCCCGGGCAGGTAAGGCCTGAGCCAGGCTGTGGTCCCAGCAGAGCTGTCTACGTGACAGACACCCACACTAGCCTAGGAAACACCCTCGTGGCACTTCGTGCGGCTTCAGCCGGGGTGGGCACAACGGCTCTGTTTGGATTCAGAGCCCTGGCAGCCCTCTGATACAGGGAGTGCCGACTTGCGGGAGGAGGCCCAACCCAGGACACCACCGACTCAGAGAGCTCTTTCCAACCACACGTGGTCTGCCAGCACCAGGAGCGTGGCCCCAGAGCCCCCGGGCGTGGGCACATTCTGGCAGCACCAGGTGCATGGCCCCAGAGCCCCCGGGCGTGGGCACGGTCCGGCAGCACCAGGCGCATGAGCCCCCGGGTGTGGGTGTGGGCATGGCCGACCAGGCCCGCTGCCCCAGAGGTCCTGGCAGAGAGCTGCAACCCCTTCCTTCGTGAACCGTTAGTCACTGGGGGCATTTCCTGACCCGCTAATGTCTCAAGGCTGCCTGGGACAGCCTACCCAGGGGACATGTGGGTGGGCATGATGCTAGTCACCTCCCAGGTAAAGGCTCAAAGGGGGCAGGGGATGCTGCCCTTTTCCAACCACCAGCTGAAAGCCGAGGGCCACGAGGCTTAGGGAGAGGCAGGGTCACACGGGAAGGCTTCTGGGTCCCCACATCATCTCATGGAGGGCACTGGTGACCAGCAACCTAACTGCCTGTCACTGCCCACTACCTGGAGGCTGGCTGTCACCATGGTGACCCCGACACAGTCCCAGGGAAGAGTCCGTGGGCTTCTGCCCCCAGGTCTTGCCTGTCACCTTCAGCTGACCTCAGAGAGGAATACGTGGCTAATGTTTTGTATCTTTAAGAAAACAGAAGTCAAAAGCATTTTCCGCCAACCTTAAATAGGGGCTCACTTCTTAAAGTCCTCCTAGAATTGAATAACAGGAAGATCTGATGATCCTGAATAGTTTCCATGTTGTCCTGCCTGCCAGGACGTTCAAAGTGACATTCTGTGTCCAACTGCGGCCCCTAACGTGTCCCGTCCTAGAGGCCGGGGCTCCCGTTGGCCCAACTCGCTACATGTCGGCCTTTAACGCTGCTCCTTCCCTCCGGGCGTGGGATGAGGGGCGGCAGCCGGCTCCGGCTCTCACGGCTGGTGGCAACGAGGTGGACATGGATGAGGGCGCAGGGTGAAAGTGGTGGCGTGCCGACTCCGAGCCGGTCGGAGCCCCGCGGGCTATGAAGGACGGCTGGTCAACGGCCGTTGAAGACAGCAAGCAGGGGCTGACCCGGCCCGTGGCACACAGCGCTGAGAACAGGCTATGCGTACCTCCCGTGCGCAGGAACCTGGGGTGTACACAGGGACACGCGTGTCCTCGGGAACTATCACAACGGCGGGTAGAAGAATCATAGCACGCCATCTGACGTGGCACCAGGAAGTGTGGGTACACACAGAAGGGCTGGCTGTCGGGCTGGAAAGGCAGGGAAGGGGTGGCAGAGGCCGAGGCACGGGGTCGGGTTTAGTGGATTAAGGTGGTCGTGGGGGGTGGACAGTGGCGGCGTTTCCGCGGAAACAGTAACCCAGGCCCAAGGCCCAGAGAGCCAAAAACGTGTGGCGTTGAGGTTGTGACGGATATTGTTTTTGTCAGAGGGTGTGTATGCTTGCCAGAGAGAGACAGAGACAGAGACAGAAAGAGGGCGAGGGGGAGCACCTCGTGATGGAGATGTGGTCAGACCACGATCCCTTCCCCTCCCTTTCCTCATCCTGCCCGGTCTGGGGCATGCACACACCTGCTGTGCTCCCAGCCTGCTGCCAGGGCTGGGGTTCGAACTGCAGTGGGCCACGGGGCCAACCCGTGAGGGACCTGTGTAGTCTGTTTTTCATTCCCTGTCCACTTCACCCAGTTGGGATTTTCAACCAAAGATCTCTCTTGCTTGTTTGTTTGCTGGTTGGTCTTTAGTTATTGTTTAAAGTTACTTGAAACACTCGCTGTGTCCTGGTGTCACGTTCTGAGTTTTCCTACGATGAAATCAAATCTCACAGTCTGGAAGGTTCTGACCTTCGGGGACATGCTGGAAGTCTGGCATGTTGCACTTGGCAAGGGCCTGGCTTCTTCCTGCGCCAGTGTGCAGAGAAAGACAATGTGGTTTCAGATCTCGATTCCTAAGACTCGAGGCCTGCAGCGGTGCGTTTTCTGTAACAATGGCGGGACGAGTCGATTCCAAGGACTGTGCGCAGCCTCGGGGGGAGCCAGCCACTGGAATGTTCTCGGAGAGCCTTCAAAGACACCTTGTGCAGCACCTACCTGCCCTCTGCCCCGGAATACGGCGCGCCACTGAGTGAACTGGCAAAGAAAACTCCCCTGAAAGGGCAGCTCATGCCAGAAGGAAGCAGAGGGTCAGAGAGGGCTCTCCGTGGGCTCCGGGCTGGCAGGCAGCACTCGCCCGGCCGCTGTTTCCAAAGCAGCTCCTGAGCCTTGACTTGGAACCTGAGGGTAAGGGCAGGCAGGGGCCGTGGATCTGGCCCCCACAGACACCTGGATGGCTTCCTGTAGTCTCTACGTGAAAGTCAAGGGGCAGGGTCTGCAGCCCAGCCTCACACACCACCAGCCACCACCACACAGACCCCTACACTGGGCTCCTCCCTACGGGCTGCCGGCCCTGGCCCTGCCCTCGCCTTTCTCCCTGAGCCTGGACAGTTATGCCTACAGGTGGCCCCACCGCCATCAGTCACCCTCCCTGGCCTCAGACCCCGTCCTGACTCCAGTGCGTGTCCGCCAGGGCCCAGGGAGCGTGGCGCACAGGCAGGGCCTGCCCAGGGCTCGTCAGGTCCCTGAACGAGCAAAGACGAGCAGACTGTGGGCTCCATCACTCAACCTGTGCAAGGCATGGCCTGGAAGGGGCCAGGGAGTTGAGCCCCGAGCCACGTCCCCGAGGGCAGCCCTGATACATACCCTGCCCTGGCCAGGGCCCCACAGGCTTGAGCTGAAATGCCTGCCGTGGCACCTGCTCGGGCATGTGCCCTACTGACTGCTTGCTATCCCCTCCCCTACCTGCGTCTCCCCGTCTCCCTCCATCAGTGACTTGCTCTGATCCTCAGCTGTCTGCCCCAGGAGGGGCAGACCAGAGGCAGCAAGGTGTTTGGGGGCCGAGGGCGTCCAACTCTTTCTTCTGTGGCCTCCAGTCACATACCCTGCGCTGAGGAAACGCTGTCCATGCTCCGAAGGGGGACCTCTGTCGTTCACACTGCCCTGCACGTGCCGCCGTCTCAGGAACTACAAGCCTCCTGGGTGGCGCTGCCCCCACGGTAAGCTCGTTCAGCCCGCCGCCCCCGCGAGGGGGAATGCTCTCGCCCACCACCCTACCTTGACACATGGGACACCGCCTGTGGTCATGGAACTGACCGTGGTGGAGACAGGATTTGAACCCAGGTAACTGGCCCCCAGAGTCAAAGCTCTGGATCACAAAGCTCAAGCCCTCTGCTTTCTGGGTCTTTCTGTGGATGGAGAGCACCTTGAATATAAGGTACACAGGGGAGGTAGAGGGTCTGGAGAAGGGAGAGGAGACATCCCTAAACTCCAGTCAAGCCCTCCCACCACTCGGAGCTCCTGGGCCCATGCATGTGTGCGTGCATTAGTGTGTGCATTCACACGTGCATTCGTGCTTGCATTCATACATGCATTTCTGTGTG